AAAGCACTTTCGAAATCTTTTTTTTTTCAACGAAGCCAATTTTAAAGCATGTTTTAAAGCATGTTGTGCTGATTTTTTCAGCACAAAGACACACAGGCAGGCTTTTTAGTTGCTGAGCAAGCCTCCCCAAGCCTCCAGAGCCAGCCGATCAGCTGTTAGGCGGGGAGAGGAAGGGGCAGGAGCAGAGAAAAGCACAAAATAGCTGCCGGCCTCCCTTCTGGGTGTTGGCTTTTATCTGTTTGCTGCTCTTTTTCCTGCAGTTCAGGGGCTACCAAGGCCTGGTAAGTGACTTTCTTTTATTTATTTTTAAGTTTCTGACCTTTTTCCCCCTCCAGAAGCCTCTAATGGGAGGGAGGGGGCACTTTTTTCCTGTTCGTAACTCGAGGGAAGTTCGTATGTTGAGTATGTAATTTCCTATTGGGCGGGTTCGTAAGTTGAAAAGTTCATATGTAGAACCGTTCGTAAGTCGAGACCCTACTGTATTAAAGATAGAGGTCCAGGCAATGTGTCATTTAAAAACCAAGTAGAAATTGTTTATTGTTACAAGTAATAAAAGTTCAGTCAATGTCGTAAGCTCTCAACTAAAACAACCTTCCTTTCTATTCTCTACCACCTTCTCTTTTCTCCCTCCCTCTCTCTCTTTTCTTAACCTTCCCCCACTTAACTCCGCTCCCCACCAACTCCTATTGGTGTATGCAAATCTCAATGTAAGTATTCATAAACTGGGTGAATGCTACAGGTGCTAATCTGTTTTTACTCCCCATAAACTCTTGTTTTCCTTCTGGAAAAGCAGAGGGTTGAAATATGAGGAGACCTCTTCCTCAGGGTGGGAGGAGGAGAGTCAAGAACCAGCACCTAGATTGAGCCAATATGGCGTTGAGGTTAGAGTGCTGGACAGGGACTTTGGCAATCCAAGTGCTAGTCCACTCTCAGCCATGAAATACATTGGGTAGCCTTACACCATTTACACACACACACATTTAGCCTGAGTGCAAGATAAAGTGAGACTGGTTAATTATGTGTTAGAATTGTGTGCATTCAAGCCTCACTAGTACCACTTGACTTTCAACTAAGAGAATTTTCTGTCTCCCACCTATTTGGCGTGAGTGAAAGAAGAGTCAATCTCCCTACCACCTTCTTTTCCTTCGTTCTTAGATCTCTTGTTCTGCTCCCATCTCACTCAGTTTTTCTACTGTTGGCTGAGGCACTCTTCTTTCTTCCTCTATTACTGCATGTTTTATATAATTACCAATCTTGAGCTGTAACTAATTAACTCTTTTGCTCCCATTCTTGCTGATGACATCGTAATGCTTTCGTACTCACCCGTTTCCCAGAACGAGCTGCAAAGAAGAACATAATGAGTGTCAGGACAATAGAGGCACAGCCAATGTACACACGTAGCTTGCTTGCTGCAGCGTGAATGACCGAAGCCCTGTAGAAAACAAACACATTGTTATTGGAACTTATTTTCATTGTCTTGCCTATCTACTAATAAATAATTTAAAAAAACAAAAGGGAAACCTCCAGTTAAAAAATAATATTTGTGCTGCAATTGAAGGGAAAGGCAGACTGTGCAATTTGAAATTCAAGAAGTATTAATTTTGAGATTAGAGAAAGAGCAACCAGGAAGGGTGAAGTGTTTGCCCAACTACACCAAAGCACAGAGTGCTGTCCTCTGAAGATGCTGGCCACAGAGACTGGTGAAACGTTAGGAAGAACAACCTTCAGAACACGGCCAGAGAGCCTGAAAAACCCACAACAACCATGTTTGCCCACTGATTTGTTCTATTCCTGATGTTAATTTTGTGCCTGTTTACTCTCTTGCATAGAGTCTGGCATGTGTGCCCAATATAAATGCAATGCAGCACAGCATACATCATATTAGAGAATGAGCAAGTTTATGCACCCCTGATATTGTGGATTATGTTGTTTGATCCTATAATGGTGTTTCCCATACAAATATGTGGGGAAAGCTGGCATCTGGGTTTGCCGCAAGGTCTGGTTCCTATATCAATGTCTCTGGTAGACAATCTGTTGCTAATAATTAGAATTTTATTTAGATTGGGTAGCCAACATGGGTTGCCCACCAAGGCCTGCTAGACACTTATCTGAAATGGATTAGAGATCTTTGATGATGCACATCAGTGGATTCAGCCAAGAACTTTATGTCATCACTAGTGGTATCCTATTGTTGTCTAGTTTTGGTTTATCTTGCAAAGCTTACTTCTGGGAATCTGTCTGGTCCTGCTAATCTATTGTGTAACTAGATCAGGTGAGTTTTGATTCTGAAAAATGTCTCCCACTTTTCCAGCAGGGAGCCTATTTCAGATGGTTCTGAGGAGATGCAGTGGTATAATAGTTGGCTGTAAACAATGGGTTTTTAAAAATGTCTTCAGGGTGAGAGCTGCAGGCATGGAAATGTGATTTTCTGTCTGTGGATTTCTGGTATAATGGACAGATGTTAATCTGTCCATTATGTAGCTGAAATGCAGTATCCAGAAAGTTAAGCTTTTCCTTGAAATGGTCTATACTGAACTTTATGTTATGGTGAAATGTATTAAAAGTCTTGATGGAACCTCATTAGCACTTCTTCATCATGAATCCAAATAATAAAGATGTCATCTATGAACCTGAGATAGAGCAGAGGCTTTTGCAAACAGGATCTGACAAGGCAATGTTCTAAGTCTGCCCTGAAGATGGGGAGACTGAAGGGGGTCCATGACTGTCCCACTGGTTTGCAGGCATATGTTCCCACCAGAGTGGAAGTACTTATGAGTTAGACCAAAACTGCAAAGTTTCGTGGCCAGATGTGATGTGGTTCCTTATGGCATGGTATTCTTTATTGCTTTTAGTCTACCTTTATGGAGGATGTTCATATACAGTTTAACAGGGCGCGAAAATGGTTGCAGCGGCCATTTTGGGTCGTGGGGCAGCTATTTTGGAGCCACCGAACAGCTGATTTCCCAACGAAACACTTACTGATCTTCGCAATGCGAGTTTTGGCCATAGAGGTCATCGGTAAGCGATCGCATTAGCGATCGCAAAAAAGAGATCGCTATGCGATTTTGTTGTTATACGGTGCACTCGTTAAACGAGGCACTACTGTAAAGTGCCTCAATATCCATGATTGCCAGGATCATATTTTCTGGTAGACTGCCTATGAATTGCAGTTTCCTCAAGAAATCTATGGAATCTTTAAGGCATTCTTTCTGAGGCTATAGATGGCAAGCAAAATTGTTTGCTGACAATTTGGGCTTGTGCTGTGTGGCAAAGAGTGAATTCTTCACTCTCAGACCTTCGAGAATATCATCTCATGCTTGCATTTAGTTAGAAAGATGATGTATGTTTGGAGCTGTGCCAGTTTCTTTATAAGGTCGATGTATCTCCATTTCATACAGCCAAATATGGTGCTTACCACTGCTGAAAAGGTATACAGTCAAACCTCGACTTACAAATTTCATCGGTTCTGGATTAATGTTCGTACGTCGAAACATTCGTATGTCGAATAGGTATACAGTCAAACCTCGACTTACGAATTTCATCGGTTCTGGATTAACGTTCGTACATCGAAACATTCGTATGTCGAACTATGCATTCCCATAGAAATGCACTGAAAAACCATTAATCCATTCTGGCCAAAGGAAAAAAATACACCCCCCCCCCAAAAAAAAGAAATGAAAAATAAAACACTTGCAGCCCCACGCTGGGACTGCAAAACACACACACACACAGAACAAAAACATCCAAAAATAAACATTTGAGCAAGTCCCGCGCTGGGACTGCAAAAAAAAAAATCACCAAAAAACCACGACAACACAGAAACATACCCCCCTAGCCCAAACTTACCCTCCAAAACCTGCCCAGAACAACTTCTTAAAAAGAAAAAAACAGCAGCACCTTACCTGTCTGAAGCCTCCCTACCAAAGCACCTGCACCCGGCCACTTCCCTTTCCTCCTCTTGTGCAGCTGCCCAGGGCCTGCAGCAGCGCTTACTCATGAGTAGACCTGCACTGTTGGCGATGGTTACTCACAAGTAAACCCATGCCAGGGATGCACAGGGAGCACACTGGACTGGCGCCCCCCCTGTGGCGATCGCCGCTTTCAGACGCCTCCCGGGGCTTGCCCAGCACCATCGAAGGCAGGGGAAAAGGGCAGGAAATTCAAAAATGGTGCTGGGCAAGCCTCTGAAAGCGATGACTGCCGTGTGAGTCCATCCGATGGTGCTGGGCAAGCCTTCGGAAGCATCTGAAAGCTGTAATTGCAGTTGCAGGGGACCCCCGCCTGTCCTCCGATGGTGCTGGGCAAGCTTCCAAACGGAAAAAGGCAGGGGGAAAGGGCGGGAAATTCAAAACTCAGCCTCCCAGGGCTTGCCCAGCACCATTTTTGAATTTCCTGCCCTTTTCCCCTGCCTTCGATGGTGCTGGGCAAGCTTCCGAACAGAAAAAGGCAGGAAGAAAGGGTGGGAAATTCAAAAATGGTGCTGGGCAAGCCCTGGGAGGCTGAGTTTTGAATTTCCCGCCCTTTCCCCCTGCCTTTTTCCATTTGTTGAGGCTCCGTTCGCAAATCGATACAAATTTTTGCGATCGGAGCCATTCGTAAGTCAAAATATTCGTAGGTAGGGAAGTTCGTAGGTCGAGGTTTGACTGCAGTAGGCAGCTGTGTTAGTCTGTTGAAACAATTTATACCAAAAATAGCCATGTAGCACCTAGTTTTTACGTTTCACAAGCTTTTGGGTGTCTAAGCACGCTTCTTCAGGCAGATGGGAGTGCTTGTGTCTGTGGGTGAAGTATAGAACTGTTAGCAGTTTTAAACCATTGGTAGTTTAACACCATTTGTAACAGTTAAAAACTGCCAACAATTCTCCTTATCCGCAGTTTAAAACTAGATGTCTAACAACAAACAATAGGAAGTGATTAATTCCATCATAATGGTGGTGATTACAGTCTGACTGGGTGATAAAGGTGCTCCATTACTATTTCTGGTATATACTGGTATGTATAGTGGACTAAAACGGTCTATGGTCAAGGGTTTAATTTTCACAGGGTGGCTGCAAACAAAGGCAAAGAGAAAGATTCAAAAAACACTGATGTGATGCACCTCCCTTCTAAAGTCCACTCTAGAATCCTCCCGAACATATTCAGAGAAGAGAGTAGAGCTCTGCTCCTAACAATGGGAGAAAGGCAGCATTGTCCTTTTAGCTGCCTCTGTTTCTTTGGCTTGCTCCTTTCTGAAGACGTAGTCACAATTCTGTATCTTGTAGAAAAAGCCCCCATTATCTGTTCCCCAGCATTCAATTATAGCCCCATAGGATCTAGCTCCTACTAAACAATAAAAGGGGCTTGATTTCACATTTTAATTGAGCCACTGCAGTCTTGGCTTACATCAGATAAAAATCATCCCACACCTGGAAATGAGGGAACCATTTGTAGGGAAACTGGAGGGGGGAGAATGGAACTGTTGGTTTAAATGGATGAGGCATGGGGGAACAATTGGTGAGGTTCAAAAGCTGGAAACTGTTACCTTTTAAGGTCAGCAGCTTTGCTCAACAGTTTGAAAAAAGAATGCCAGGTAATAAATAATCACATGGCATTCCCAAAATGTTTGTGTTAGTTTTAACGCAAAAATGTTGAAAAGCAAAAATAAGACTTAAGGATCCTAGGAAATCTTTGCATCTTTTTAAACATCGAATCTGTGATCCCAATATTAACACTTTTTTCTGAAAAATCCTCCTTAGCCCTGGGATGCAACTAAAAAAAAATACAAACATACAAAAAAAGCCCAGCACAGTATTTCTTCCCAAAATTGTTCTGTGCTGTTCATATGGTTTTGTTAGGTTAGTTAAAATACATCAGCAAGGTGCATGCCGATAAATAGTTTCTGCAAGATGGCAAAACTACAATTTGATGTCAGCCACATCTAACAACACTCTGCTTTCTTCTTATAGTAAATTCAGCTGAAGATGTGTTGTGTGATGTAAGATCCTTCGTATCTGTCTAACAGAAGCTCCAAGATACCTCTAATTTGCATAGGATGAAAGTCAGAAGAAAGGAGGCCCCAGAAGCACTCTAGAAAAAGCAGTAATATTAGCTGTAAGACAAAACAGCACATAGCTTAGCCAAAAGAGCACAGGAGAACAGGGTGCTCAAAAAAACCTCACTGCTCTTCCCTGTGCAATCTTGTTGTGCTGAAGGTCCAATGAACTAGGCTGGAAAAAGTCCTGGATATAAATTAGATGAACTAATTCTGAATATCAGGTTTTAGAACATCTAGCCAATATCTATTGAAACTTAAACCCAAGAGAGCCAGTGCTTAGATGCTTCTGTACCTACGAATATGGTTATGTCAAAAGTTGCAGGTCAGAACTGACAGAGGGAAAACATGGCCTCTGATTATCTATGTTTCATACTCTTTCTAGAGGGAGAGGGAACAAAAACATGGAATATAAAGAGAGGCTGGTCTCCATGTGTTCTGTTCCCTACGTGCAGTCTGCTTCAACTTTTCTGCTGTCTTCTGGGGGTAGTATTCTGAATCTCCAGTCAGAGCCTGGCCTGCACATGGGCTACTTTCCATTTGTTGAACTAATGCCCTCTTCTACAATCCATTATGCCTCCTCATACATGTGCCCTGTCCTCCCTTAGTCTCTTTTATCTTTGCTAAAAAAAATTCTAAATTCTCTGAAAACTCAGACGTCATAATGGCAAATATTCAAATGATCATATGGATGTCCTGCACTGCAATCCAAACTCAAAAGATACTCTGGCGGTAGTGAGGTTGGAATGGGCAAAAGTTGCTTGTCCTGGATTATCTCAGATTGCTGGTACAATTTAATGTTTTGGCACAAGTGCTGCCCTGGCTGAGAAGAGCTTTAAAGGGGGGGGGGAGAAGGGGAGGACCAAACCCTTTCACCTTAGATTCACTGCCATTGTGTCAGCACAATTTTAGGGCCAAGGACAGGTTAGTCCTAAGAAATATCAACATCTTTTTCCTAGGAGGGTTTTGGATTTAGCACAGCTCCAATTGGCTTCGTTGCAGTTCAGCCATCCCTTGACAATCTTAGTTACGATTGTGCTGTCACTCCAATTACTGTTTGCATTTTATTAAAGAAAGCTCCCTCCAACGCCCATGGAACAGCCTCAGTAAAATTTTATATACTAAGTTATAAAGGGACAATTTTCTGCTGGCAAAAGCAGTAACTTCTGGAGGGTTTGTGTTTAGATTTCTAAAAATACAGTATATCTATTTCATTTTTTAAATAAAAGTAAACACTGAACATACGGCACAAATTCAGGTATGTCCTCTTCTTTCTTGTAACGGCCCGTCAACAATAAGACTCTCCTATTCCACCTGGAGGGAGAGACTACGTTCTTGTACATAGGTTGGTAAGATGTGCCTATAGAAAGTGTGAAGATAAAATACATCAGCAATTGAGACTCAAAGACAGCATCACCTTACTGATCTCTTGCTGCACAGCCAATTAGTTCAATCGCAATTACCATATCACATTTTGATTTATGAATAGTGTTGTGTATGAATAATTAAGACAGTTCTTGGTCGAGCAAGACTAGGAGCTTGAAACTAACTAACCAGAAGGTTTCCCTGTTATACATCCTCTCACTCACTTAGGCTGCAAAAAAACACTAGCAGAAAAACAGTCAAAGACGCCAGTGCAGACAACACATGCAGGCATAGAAAAATAATTTTTAAAATTACCCTTAGAACAAATCTCTTAAACTAGCACAACAAAAAAATTGCCTAAAATAAAAGCAAATCCACAAGACACACTAAAAATCAGTGCAACAGAACTCATCATAAAGAGAGATCCTGCTGCCCATCAGTTTTTGCTTGCTTTCAGGGGGAAAAACACAAGGAAATCCTCTGGGACAGAAGAAGAGAAGCCAATAATGTTCCCACACATGTTACTGCAGTGGTTCTGAACCTTTGTTCCTCCAGATGTTTTCGACTTCCGCTCCCAGGATCTCTGACCACCAGACACGCTGGCTAAGGCTTGTGAAGTGGACATCTTGAGGACCAAAGGTTGAGCACCATCACACTTTGTAGATAGCTCTTAAGACACAAGGCCTTTCCAATGATTTGAACATTAAAAAGCATGCTTTTTATTGTTTGTTGCAAGAAACCTAAATTATCCAGGCAAATGCATTTTTCTCTCTCATGTAGTGTTTTGTTTTTTAAAAAAACAGGAACAATGACTGTTGAACCAAACGTGGCTTCATCAAGGCAGAAGGAGATTTTATTTGTCAGTGAAGAAGGCAAGAGGTCTGTTACTTGTTCCAGGCAAAGAAGTAACTGATATATGAATGCCCTGTGGTAGGAGACAAGGTGCACATGAAAATCAGTTCTGGGAGTACCAAAAATATTATTTTCAGTACAAATAAAGAAAGCCATAGAATTCATCACTTATCATAGTGATGCAGCATTTCTGTCAGAATTATCCACTCTATGTTCGAATTCCTAAAACAACACCATTATGTGGTTGTGTCTGGTTCATAAACATGCCCAACGCTCAAAGTGATCCCTGATTCTGAAATTCAGGACAGGACCGTGGCTGAAAAAGAAAGATGGGAGACCGCTCCTTCAGTGGTCTCAAACCCTCTCACACTCTACCCCCCTCTCTCCCTGCTGTGTGGATGAGCAGAGGGATCAGACACCATGCAGTCTTCCTTACGCTTTTGATATTAACCCACTGGCATGATAAGAACAGAACACATAAAACACCAGACAGCAAAACTACAAACTTGCTACCAGGTCAAGAAACTGACACAGTCCTAGTGCCCAAAATAGGAACTACACACCTGCCACTATTATTGCAAATTTCAACTTCTGACAAAACCAGAAACATACTAGAAAGGCAATACTGACAGTGGTGATTTATGGACTTTAAAGACTCCCCTCCCCAAACTTCAGGCCCCAAAGGCTTCCCCAAGATGAAAGGGATCCCTGCAGAGCTTGGGGGGGGGCTTGGAATCAGAAACATCTAATTAGTGATAAAAGGCTGCAACTGATAACATCAGCCTTGCATGTGCACACCTGTGCCAACAGGATTTCCGCAATTTCGTTAAATATACAGCATGCAATTATGCACCTATTTTGGTGTTTTTCTTACAAGAAAACATGCAGGACACTCATTCTGAATTCACTCTGACTAAATGAAGTTTAGAGGGTTTAGGACCCACACAAAATGAAGTGGGTGTGGATATATATATATTTTTAAGAATCCCCAATTCTGCCACATTTGGCATAATGGTGGGACTAGCAAAGATACAACTAAAGATTAAATAAGGAATTTCACCTGTCCACATATTTTAAAAATATGGATTTAACTCTTCAGATTATCCACCTTTACAGAGGCACATTCTTGAAAAGGTCTTAAGAAGTTACCATTGGTTGCCTTTCTTTACTCACTAAAACCTTTTAAACAGGCAAACCCAGATTACAAAAAGCCTTTTATTTCCTCAGATAATAACTATAACATCAAAAGCTGTGTTAGCCAATGAGTGAAAAATACACAGTAGTATTTAATTCTCTTTACTGAAACTGACAAGAACACCACAAGAGTGAAGAAAACCTTTATCTCTTGTCAGGCTAAGAAGTGAAAAAAAACATGCAATTTCCCCCTCATATCTTAACATTTGTACCATCTAAGGCAGGGGTCTCAAACTCAATTTACCAGAGTCTGGCTGAGGCTGGCCCGCATCAGATTTTCCGCCAAGTGGCGCAAGTTTCCTTAGCCTGGCTGGGGCTCCAAGGAGGAGGAGGCGTGTGCGAGCCCTCGTCGCCGGCCACGATCCCCTCCAGCTCCTTCTTCACTACCACCACCCACCACCACCAGCAAGACAAAGAAATGGAGAAGGGAGGGAGTGCCGGTGACCGCCTTGGTGGTGGTGGGGAGGGCATGACATAATTTTTAAAAAAAAACATCACAGAATTCACCTTGCCAAAGGAGAAAAGCCCTCAACGGAACACACAAAATTAAACAGAGCGGGGTGGCCCCCACTCACGCACACACACACACACACACACGTTCGGCAACGTTCCTCTGAGGGCCCCCCTTAAAAAAATGCCGGTGACCGCCTTGGTGGTGGTGGGGAGGGCATGACATAATTTTTAAAAAAAAACATCACAGAATTCACCTTGCCAAAGGAGAAAAGCCCTCAACGGAACACACAAAATTAAACAGAGCGGGGGGGCCCCCACTCACGCACACACACACACACACACACGTTCGGCAACCTTCCTCTGAGGGCCCCCCTTAAAAAAATACCCACTCAGCAGCAGCAGCTACTCCCATCACGACAGGGGAGCAAACTGTGAGGTGAGCCCAGGTAGCCTCCAGAGCTGAGGCGGCTGAAGCAGGGTGAAGAGGAGGAGGAGGAAGAAGCTGGTGCTGGGGGTGCCAAGAGAAGAAAAAGCCAGAGAGCTGCTTCCCTGGAAGAGGTGGCAGCAACTGCTGTTGGTGGCTTGGAGGCGCTCTTTGAGGACAGGCTGCGAGTGAGCTCCGCTCTCAGGCATCGCTCAGCAGCGGCTCAGGCACTCGGGGAAAAGGGGTAGCAGCACACCTCACTTGCTGGCTCTCCCCCAAGACAGCTCCTCTTGCACCCTCCATCCGGAACTGCAGCCTGCCAGCCGGCAGACAGGTGGGCTGGCTGCAGTTCTGGATGGAGGGTGCAAGAGGCGCTGTCTTGGGAGATATCCAGCGAGCGAGGCGAGGCTTTTTTGACTCTTGACAGCAGAGACGGGGGGGGCACTTCGTGGGAGGCAGGCAAGGCGGGGGCCACAAACTATCAACCAGAGGGCCGCAAATGGCCCCCGAGCCGCATGTTTGAGACCCCTGATCTAAGGGGATGAAAATTTTTGGAGACCACTAAAGCTTCCAGGTTTGTATCACTTTGGTGTATTGATCTAATATAAAAACAAACCCACAGCTCTGAAATACACTTACAGTATTAGGTTCAGTTACAATGAAACCAACACGATCAGCTTTGTCATCAGCTTCTGGGGAATGAAAACTTCATTACAACATGTATGTGGAAAGAAATTAAAAAGAGACCACTTCAAAGAATTTTGACTATTAACCTATTTATAGATCATCCTTCTTTGTGTACCTAGTAGGGTCATCAGGAAAACTCAGGCATGTGAGATTATTGAAAAACATTCCAATGAGTACCACCATGAATGACATTACACCTGATCTACTTACTCCTATTATCTTTTAAAACTAAGAGAGAATTTTGTTTCTAGCACAGTAACAGTGTTAACTCATAGTCTGTTAACAGCAAAAACAAACAAAAAAAATCTTGTGACACCATAAAAACAATCCAGTTTTATTTGACAAAAGCTTTTGGAGAAAGCAGTCCACTACTTCTGACTTACCAGGAAATTTCACAGTACAGGAAGCAGAGAGAGTATTCAGGTTGCCTAACTTCCAGCCAAAAGCATGTCTCATAATGCTCAAATGGACTAAGATAGATGGCTACGGAGTTCTGACCTACTAATTTCACACTTAAGAAAAACTGAAGAAGAAAAAACTATATATACACTTACCATTCTAGTACATAAACAATGTTGAAGTCTTAATTGGAGAAAGTACCAGAATGAAGCGCATTATATACCAGATGCACTAGCAACAACCTACAAATCCACACACATCCTGTTCAGTTTGGACCTAATAACTACAGTATACCCTGCACCTTTTCCTAGAACCATCAAAAGCTATCTAACCCAAAAAAAACACAAGGTATGGTAGCATTTTTACGACGGTGACCTCAAGCACGAGTGTTCACGGATCGCCAACGCGCTCTTTGGGGCACCCTGCGAAGAAGAAGGGGGGGACTGGCTGTCCGAAAGGCGACTGTGATCCACAAGTCCTCGCTCAAATAAATCGATAACTCTCAATGGCGTTACAGGACGTCGTCCGACTTTACGTTACCAAAAAGCGACAGCCAAGGGCCAGCGCCAGCCCTCCTCGGCGGCGGGGCGGGCAAAAGGGGGAATCTCTCGGCAGAGGTCAAGCAGTGACAGCCGGCCACCCCGTCCAAAAGCGGCCGCCCCAACAAGCAAGACCCGCGGCCGTGGGGGCTCAGCTCCTTTGGACGCCGCCCCCACAGCCCCCCGGGCAACGAGAGCAAACGAGGATTACTTTGGGCTTACCTGGGGCTGCGGGCCGGGGCAACTGCGCCCCATCCTCGGGGGGTGGTTTGCTGCACAACCTCCGGGTCGCCACCCTCAAGGGACTCCCTGTTTGCAGCGAGGCAAAGATATTTCTGTTCCAAAGGGTCTTCATTTTGCCTAGTATGGGGGAGGGGGAAAAGGGGGGGGGAAGGAAAGGAAAGGGCTGTCATGGGAAAAGCACGAAGGCAACGGTACCCTCCCCACACACACACACACACACCCCGAGGGGCAGCTTCTCCAAGGGGCAGCATTTGAAGGCGGCGAGAACCGGTGCCTTTAGCGGAGCGGGGGGGGGAGGCGAAAGGCCAGCCCCCGGGCCAGCGGGGTCACCAGCAGAAGCATTAACTAACCGGCGGCGGCGGCGGCCAGAGGTCCCGCCATGAGTCGCTACGAGGAGCTGCTTCCTCTCCTCGTTTCCCCCGCTCTGCCTCGTCGGTCGGCCGGCTTCCCTTCTTTCTCCCAACCGGGGAAGCAAAGGGTAGGAGCGGGGGGGGGAGGCGAAAGGCCAGCCCCCGGGCCAGCGGGGTCACCAGCAGAAGCATTAACTAACCGGCGGCGGCGGCGGCCAGAGGTCCCGCCATGAGTCGCTACGAGGAGCTGCTTCCTCTCCTCGTTTCCCCCGCTCTGCCTCGTCGGTCGGCCGGCTTCCCTTCTTTCTCCCAACCGGGGAAGCAAAGGGTAGGCGGACGGGGAGGAGGAGGAGTTAACCGAGAGGAGGTGGCGCCAAGGACGGAAGGAGGACGCCGGGGGAGAATGGGGACCGACGTGGATGGGTGCTTTGTACACTGAAAAGCTGTAAAAAAGCAAACACGCGCACTCTCTCGGAGCGGTAAAGGCTGAGCGAGGCCTCGGCGAGACGCCCTTCCGGGAAACCTCCGCGTCCTCGGGGCGAGGGGAGCGCAAGGAACGTGCCCTCCCCCATTCTCTCTCCCACCTCCAATTCAACCCCGGAGTGGGCGGCGGCTTCTTTCCTGGCGCGGCTGCCGATTGGCTGCCCTTGAGTCTCTCCAATATGGCGGCGCCCAACTCTGCTCCAAATTGTGAGGACTTTGCAGAATTTCAGGTACGGGAGAGGAAAACGGGGGTCGGTCCGCGGCAGGCCGCGAATGGCGGGGGAGCGGGGCCGCTCCTGGTCCCCCGCGTTCAGGCTGGACATGGTAGAGAGGAAAGGGGGAGGGCCTCTTTGGCCAGGGAGTTCCCCTGGAGCGGCGCTCGCACGTTCTCTCTCTGGAACTCGGGTGTTCTCCTCCTCCTCGCCCTCCTTATGGCCGTAGAGGGGGAAGGTGAGAAGAAAGGCAGCCGAGGAGGGAAAATGGAGGAGCAGGGGCGGGTTGTAGGTGCGATCTGGCCGACCTCCGAAGGAGAACTGGGACCGTGGATGCCACCCATCATCATACCTCTCTGAACGTGGACTCTACACCTACTGGTAACATGCCCGAAGAGACCATGTGGTCGGCAGCATGCCCTTATGCAACCTTATATTAGAAGAAAATTAAAGGGGGAACTGGAAATAAAATAAACTCAACTCAGGGTGTAGACGTTTACTGAATTGGCCGGTAAATTTTGGGGAGATGCTTTTACACTTGTGTACTTTTATAGCATTATCACCTTGAAAAGGCTCTCAACGCACCTTACAGATAAAGAAAAAACTCTCCTGCCCTTTAGCTAGCTAGGCTTTCCTATGGAAAAAGTCCTAAAACAAGGGAGGTTGGTTTCTTGCAGCACAGAAGGAAAAGGGGATCATGGTGAATGAAGTGAAATCAGACCGTCCTTAATGTTACAAAGTTTTCCTATTAACCAACTAGGATGGATATTGTGTGGTGGGGTTTTTTTAAGTGCTAAAGGCACTTGTAGTCTATTCAGTGGAGTATGTATGTATTCCAGTATCCCATTTACAGTATGCCTCTCCTGCTTATATGATGATATATAGCAATGAGGGTCCTGTGTATTAAACCCTGGAAAACATATCTTTTCTCACTTTCTTGTGGTGGGAAAATAAAACCAGTCACTCTTCTCTGTGCAAAATTAAGTAACATTTTTCAGATCTGGAATCTATTTGGAAAATACTGCCAAATAAGACTGGCTGTTCAACTGACCCTGATTAGTATGCTGTTTGTTTATTTTATGTATTCTGTGTGTCTTTCTTTGGGGAAATGGTTCAAAATTGCATTGCATCTTGGTATCTGAGTTGCTGAACGTCCCTGGCAGTGTTATCTCAAAAACATCAGAAATTCATTAAATTATAAGTATGGATTTCTATGACCTAAAAATATCAGAAATATGCAAGCACTTCTGATCTTAAAATAATTCAGATATGGCCAATTAAACAAAAAAATGACTACATTTTTTTCCCAAATTAGCACCCAATATTTTTGCCAACAGCAGAATTACATTGGATGATCAGATGCATCTTGAGGTTCCCAAACTCAAAACTCCTTATGTTGTCCATCACTATGTTCTGTATCTGGAGAAAGTCCAGTCAACTTCACAAGAGGTTATAGGAACAAATTTTTAAAAAGCCAACTCATCTGGAGAAAATTCTGGCTGAAAGTAATCAAATTTTGCTTCAAGTCCATTTAGAATGTCACTTATTTTGTATTGTTGAATAGCCAGATTAGATTGCAGCTCTCTTTGCAGTTTATCACTAATTTCTTTAGCACTCTCCCCTTTGCTTGTTTTAAATCACCCAGTTTGTTTCACAGTTTTCAGTGCATAGCTAAGCTCCATTTGTACAGTTTCAAGGCAGGCGATTGCACTGAAGTTAGATTATTATGCCAAGTTTCCAGTCAAGATTTCAGAAAAGGAATTTTGCACAATCTTGATGGAGGAAGATTAGCAACAGTCAAATTCTTTAACTATCCACTGCAAGGAATCATAATTTGTGGAATAATACATAGTTGTATCTAGCCAAGTCCCTCAACATGTCACAACAAATTGGGGAGGGAGAGCTAAAGAAGGAGCAATTTCTTTGAACTTTTATACTCAAAATGGAGCTTTAATAAGCTTTTTTTCCTGTTTGAAATGATCTTGTTTACATCAGGATAGTTGCTTTGAATCTCTTCGGCCACTGTGTGCACTGTAAACCATGTGCAAGGCACTTTAGGGATCCTTTTCGGATAAAGGATCCCTAAAGTAGTAGGAGGGATGTGGTGGTGCTGTGGGTTAAACCACAAAAGCCTCTGTGCTGCAGGGTCAGAAGACCAGCAGTCATAAGATTGAATCCACACGACGGAGTGAGCTCCCATAGCTTGTCCCAGCTCCTGCCAACCCAGCAGTTTGAAAGCCTGTAAATGCAAGTAGATCAATAGGGACCACCTTGGTGGGAAGGTAATGGCGTTCCATGTCTAGTCGCGCTGGCCACGTGACCACGGAAACTGTCTTTGGACAAACGCTGGCTCTGTGGCTTGGAAACGGGGATGAGCACTGCGCCCTAGAGTCGGACACGACTGGACTAAGTGTCAAGGGGGACCTTTACCTTACCTTACCTTTCAGATAAAGATGTTTAAGTCCCTTGGCTGCCTTAATCATGTACGGAGTGGCTTCTGATACAAAGAGGAGGATGTTTCCCCTTTTTATACCAACTGATCAGAGTAGTCTCATAGAATCATCGAAGACCACAGCAACAGTGGAATTGTTTTCTTTTTGTAGTTTCACATGTTAGAAGAAATACTTCACCAGGCTTGTCACATTTCAGAATGCCAATAATATTAGCCACATATCTTCCATTTACATCACTTGTTTCATCTATTGAAACATATCTTGTTGTTAACAGCAGGTCTTATCTTTCCTAACATCTTAATAGGAGGCAGATATGTCATTTTTCCTTAGAGTTTATTTATTTGGAATTGGGTGTCTGCCATGCTTTTCCAAGAAATGTCTGAGGTTACCACTACCTAATTTCTTTAAGGGAATATTTGAACCATCATTGTACAGAGGTCCTTACAGAATTCTGACTGGGTATTCACTGAACCTGCAGTTGAAGAAGCTCTCTCAAAAAGGAGATGTTGCCTGTTTTTGTAAGATCAATCTTGCTAAACAACTATTACGTTTCATGATATAACAGTGTTGTTGAATATGAAAATGCTTTTGGACTGACACATTAATTTCACACAATTTACAAAATATCACCATCACGACTGAAATTCTGCTCCCCAAACTCTTGAACAGAGCGTCATTATTTTCAGCTTACCAAACATCTATTTTTTAGCACATTGAAATCATTGGGAGGGTTGCCAGTGACCAAAATATGACTAAAATATGTTTATTTTTAAAATTATTCAGAAATATGATGTAACACTTTACAAAGGCCAAATTCTGACTTTCGAGGCAAAATAAAAACCACATAATTCTCACCAGAGTACTCATAAGCATGTTTTAACTTTTGAAAAAATATGATATGTCATAGAAATCCTCACCCTAATTATAAGCATGTCTATTTGGCTTTGTCTGTTACTTCTTTCTGATTTTCTTTTGTTTCTTTGTGTGAATAATCCATAGCAGGAAATGTATCCTAGATTTCTGTGCCTTGTATGCATTCTTTCTCTTTAATTTAATAAGTTGGAACAGTGGACTGGTTGGAGGGTGGGGTCCGTTCACGGGTCGGGGGCACCGCCACGCTCGTTGCACATTTGCATATGGGCGTGCTGCACTCACGGGTGAGTGGGGGTGCATGCATGCAAGTGTGCAGTTCCCACCATGCTTGCGTTGAGGGGCGGGAGATCTGTCTCTGTGGCCCAGTCCTGCAAAGCCCACGGACCGGCACTGGACTGCAGACTGGAGGTTGGGCACCCTTGCGCTAGGAGACCATCAGCTCCAAGAAACTATGACTATGGTTGTTGTGGGTTTTTCGGGCTCTTTGGCCGAGTTCCTACTCCAGTCCTCTGAAGATGCCAGCCGTAGAGACTGGCGAAACGTCAGGAAGAACAACCTTCAGAACACGACCAAAGAGCCCCAAAAAACCACAACAACCATCAGATCCTGGCCATGAAAGCCTTCAAGAAAACTATGACTATATTTGACTCCCAGCTGGCAACATGGAAACAGTATTTAATGCTTATGAACATTGCTTACTACTAGAGATGGGGGTATTCGTATACGAATGCTCCCGCACAGGTGGCAATAACACAGGTCCAGCATCCTGGGGCCAGACCATCCACTCACAATTCCGCCACTCCCACTGGCACTGTGAGCCTTCCTATCACTCTGGAGCTCACGATCGGCTCGCCACTCCTGGCAGGAGGCAAGACGACAAGACTCCCTTCCAGGTCGAAGAGTGACTTGCCGATCAGGAGCTCCGGATCCATTGGAAGGATTGTGGAGCTGGCGGGATTTTGAGTGGATGGTCCGTCCCCAGGCAGCCAGACTCTTGGTATCGCCACCTATGCAGGGGTATTCATATACAAATACCCCCATCTCAGACCTTTAGGGGGGGTATTCGTATACGAATACCCCCATCCCTACTTACTACATCTGTTCTTCTCTTTATCCTTTGATAAGAGAAAAAATTACCAAAAAAATCACTGCAAGACACATTGGAAACGCAATTAATCCCTTCTGGCCGAAGTGGTGGTGGTGGGGAAGCAAGCAGAGCATGCAAGACAGATGGAAATGGGGAAAGAGCAATGCAAAAAGCAATCAAAGCATGCAAGACAGATCGGAAATGGGGGGAAAGCAAAGCACCAACCAACAAACAAACTCCCAAGACCCATCGGAAATAGGGGGGAAACACTCCAAAAAGCCACCAACCCCCCCAAGACCCATCAGAAATGGAGGAAACCAAAAAACAAACAAACCCCTGAAGACCCATCACAGCACAGAAACATAACCCCCCAGCTGAAAACCACGCTGCAATAACACCCAGAACAGTTTTTAAAAGCAGAAAACAGCACCTTACCTTACCAGGCAGCCTTCTCTGATCGCACACTCTAACTGCCAGGGCGAAAGAGCTACAAAGAAGCAGCCTCGTCGCCACCTACAGTTAGAAATTTGAATTTCCCGCCTTTTCCCCCTGACTTTTTCTGTTCGTAAGTGGAAGCCCCGGTTGCAAGTAAAAGCAAAATTTTGCACCAGGAGCTGGTCGTAACTCGAAATGGTCGTAAGTAGGGACATTCGTAAGTGGAGGCACCACTGTGTCTGACTTATAACAAAAGCATGAATTAATGACCACTGAAAGAGTAGATCCAGAGCTTTGAAATTCTCCTGGATCCATTTCAAATACTTGAGACTCAAGTGGCTTCAATAACATTTAGTCTTTTCATCCACAAAAACGAGCACACCACCTGTGATCATGTTTTAGATCAATATAGTTTTACCATAATGCTCCGTCGATTTAGATTATGGCAGGGTTCAGTACACCTTTGGAGACAGTTCAGAAATGTTGGGTAGTACAAAACATAAATACAGCGGTGCCTCGCAAGGCAAAAATAATTCGTTCCACGAGACCTGTCGTCTTGCGGAATTTTCGTTCGTCTTGCAAGCCTCCGAACAGAAAAAGGCAGGGGAAAAGGGCGAGAAATTCAAAAATGGTGCTGGGGAAGGCTTGCCCAGCACCATCGGAGGACTGCCGGGGGACCTCTGAAAGCGGTGATCACGGTTGCGGGGGACCCCTGCCAGTCCTCCGATGGTGCTTCCCTAGCTCCCTACCTGGTAAGTGACTTTTTCTGAGTTTTTTTTTTTATTTTATTTTTTTATTTTTTTATTTATTTTTGCTCATAGGAACACATTAATTAAATTTCAATGCATTCCTATGGGAAAACGTACCTTACAAGATGAAAATATCTTCATCTTGCGGAGCACCAAAAATTGCAAGACGCCTTCATCTTGCGAGTTTTTCGTTGTCCGAGGCATTCGTCTTGCGAGGTACCACCATACCACTATTTTGGTCAGGGCACTCATTCAATCCATGTTTCTGTAGTCTTGCAAAAGCTTCATTAACGCCACAGCCATCTTCCACAAATTACAGAAACGCTGATAAGAAAAATAATACTCCATGTCCTTTTTCTTTCTTGGCAGCAAAGAATCACATGGGGCTTGAAAATTCAAGTTGAGATAATCTAAAGACATGAATAGGCAATGTAATAACTATGGTATTCTTTACATCCCTCATTTAGATACAGGACTAATCATGAGAAATTTAGGAGTGGATTTGCAAGTAGCATATATTTCATAAGGACCTAAATGGGCTTCAGGCTGTTTTCTGGACCAACCAACATGTGAATCAGTCTACAGTAATTTTAAATGTGATGTGCTAAATGTCATGTTTTTAAATCAGTAATCTGTATCTTTTCCTCACACAGGAATTGCTGAGGGTGATGAGAACAATTGATGACAGAATAGTCCATGAGTTAAATACTACTGTTCCAACTGCTTCATTTGCAGAAAAAGTTGATGCTAGCCAAACCTGTAAACACCTTCATCAGGCGGTAAATATGTTTGTTGATTTTCTGTCATTTATACATCTTTGCTGTTTCACTGATACACGCTACTGGTCCTTAACTGATGTTTCAGCAGCTCATATAACATGACACATATTCTGTTGGAATTCTGTTGCTTAATGTGGTACATCACACTAGAGTTGGCCCACTGAATCAGTGGAGATTTGTGGAGTCAACACCTCTGTAAATTCTGTTGAGTCAAATGGGCTTATTCTAGTTGTGACCTTCTACCTTCTAATCTAGTTGTGACTAGATTAGGCTCATTTGAAGACATAGAACCTTTTGGAGGCGCTGTCTCACAAAATCTGCTATGAATTCAGTGAGCCTGTTCTAGTTACAACTCATTACAATAAGCAACAGCATTTCAGTTAATGAATGTAATGCCTCACTCTTGTTGTTGAACTAGTTTCTCTTTGTCCCTCACCCGATGAGAGGTACGCTCACGTAACCATTTTATGATTCAGAGAGGATTGTTGTAAAGTGGGGATGTAACGTGTTTCCAGCTCAAGGGCACTATGTTATGCTTGTCTGAGGCCATACATGCACGCATACATGCATCTATACATGCAGAAGTATTTGTATGCATGCAGACTCACAGGTAGCGGAGAGCCATCTTCTTAATTATTCTCAAACAGTTTATTCTTTACACGGTGCTGGTAGTCATGAGGAAAATGTGCTGTATGCCGTGGATTCGGGGGTGGTGGTGGCTGTAGCCTACAATTATGGGCTTTCTAATTATTTATTTAAAAATACAGATTTTAATGTTAAAAAACCCTGATTTCACCATGGACAGGAGCAATGCATGCTGAAATGTTTTATTTTGTCTATCTGCCTGTAATCATAGCAGATTCATAATAATGGTAAGTTATTAGAAGATGGAAAAGTTGGGCCCAGTGAGTGGCTCGGGAGCATTAGCATTGCTGAAACTCAGCAAATATAGCCCAGATCTATGCCCTGGATGAAATCCAGTGGGAGATTGGACAGCTTTTAAAGTATTATTTGCTTCCTTGCTCACTTGATTCTTGGTTTTTTTCAACTCTTTATTTAGCTAATGGAGGCTCATGAAAGTAGAGATAGAATGATTAAAACATGTATTGCCCAAGCATCTAGTGTGGTGAAAGCTTTACAAGAAGAGAGGGCGAAATCCCTGGAGGACATAGCATTGTTAAAAAGGCTCAGAAAAGAACAGACAAAGGTGAGTGGGAAAGTTCTGTGATGATCATAATTTCTGCTTTTATATATGAAGGTAACTTACCATCTATTTTCTGAAGGGAAGAGTGGAAATGATGAACTCAAAAGGGAAAAGTATTTCCTTTGGTTTAAAGCAGAAAGTTATTGTTGAAAATATACTTCCAGAAAGCAGGAAATTCAGGCACAGTCATCCTCCCCATTTAGAAACACAGAAAGTTAATGCAATCTTCTTGTACCTTAACATGAGTCCCAAATAGAGACTACAGTGTAATTCAGTGATGTTCGGAATTTCTATATAGTGCATAGCCAACAGTATGGAAGTGCTGAAAGGAAACAAGGGCTTTAATTGTGTGAACATGTGTAAACAGCAGACTTCTGCACCACAATCCTATCACCACTGATAGCATATTATTTAATAGTCCAGTCCAACTGATCTGTAAGAGAAGAAAGTTTTATTCTCTTTAATGGGCTTAGACCTACGTACGTAAGAGGAGTTTTAGAAATTATTTTATTTTATTTTTGTCTTATTGACTTAGAGGGGAGCTTCTTGTGTTTGCTTGGGGTGGAATTAAGATACTAGAAGAGTGCAGCAGTAGACTTACATTTTTTTAATAGAGACGGGGAAGTTTGATTTGTGATCATGATTCCCTTCTGGGAGTAAAGCTTCAACCATAACCTTTTTTTGCTTTAAACAAAGGGGTGTGGGGTTTTTTGGGGGGGAGGGGAAGGAAGTTTCATACTTTTTGAATTGCACAAACCCATAAACAGGAGAGGTCTGTATTTACTGAATAGCTTAGAGTAAAAGAAAAATCAAAGAAAGCTACCCTATAAATAAAAAAGCAAACAGTTATCAGCAACACAACATCTTAGACTCATTCTAAAAAGCAACCGACTTCTTCCAACCAATTCTGCTTGAATTTCTTCAGAAACCACCTGCCCATGGAGGAGTCAGAACGATTTGAACTTATCTATTAAAGATTTAAATGGTGGCTGGATAGTTCAGGTATCTAGCTGCAGAGCCAGTGTTTGGCAGTTCAGTCCCCCACTAGGTCTCTCAGAAAACCAACCTGTCTCGCCTTGGTCAACCTGCTCAGTTCCAGGATTATCCCCCCCCCCAAAAAAAAGGAATGGTAAACCACTTTTAAAATACTCTCTACCTAGAAAACTCTGAAAAGGGTCACCGTAAGTCAGAATTTATTTGATGGCACACAGTTCTTATAATTATAGAGACAGGTTCTCCACATGACAAGATAAAATGACAACAGATTCCCTTAGGACTATGGGGGATCCATTTTGATCTGTTGATCCTCAGGAGCTGACCGTATGATAACGGTCATGTTCTCTTATTCCGTACCAGAATCAGAGTCCTTTGTGAATATTTGCCCTCCATATATCCAGATTATTTGAATATATTAAGGTCAACAGAAGCTTTGTTACATTATATTGATTTTTAGCAGTGTGAAATATTGAAGCTTAAAATTACTTTGTATTTTCCTGCACTATATATGCATAAATTATCAGCTCCTATTTTCAACAAGAATTCATCCCAATTACTGTTACATTAAAAGATGTGTTTGGCCTAGTTTTTGTTCTTCATTCCAGTCAGGCTAAAAGAGAAAGGAGTTCTTTGCCTCTGGACTGAACAAGCCTGGGTTTTCCTCCTCTCTGTGTCTCCTAGGCGATGTTAAGTTGGCTCCCTTTTGGTTCTCCACTCCACTAAAGGGCAGAGATCTTTTTATTCAAACACGCCTTTGCATATTAACTACTCTGTGGTAGGAAGGAGATTTAACTGCCTATGTGCTGCCTCTTTCTTCTATTGTGGGTTCACTTGATTTCCTTGTATCTTATATTTTAATTCAGATTTTATTTTTACTGGCATACCTTAATATTACCAACTACCTTGAGCAACTCTTGGGAGTGAAAAATTAGGGAATAAATGTAAGAAATAAATAAAATGGCTTGATTTTCCTTAATTCTTCCAGTTCCCTTTAATTCCCACATTGAAATGTATTCATTACCTTCTCAGATCTTGAGGTGAAGTTAGATATTTGCTTGGAAAAAGTCATTTGCTGAATGATGGGCACAGGGCATGTGAAAAATCATTGCTAGTCACTGATGCCGTCATGACATTTGGGTTTTCAGGAAGAAATGTTTTAGCTTCATGAAGTCTTTTGATCACCGAGGAAGAATCTAATCACCATCAGTCTGCTATTTAATCTGAGCACATCTGTTTTGCTAAGTCCCTGAAACAGATAATTCTTACCTTCTTTCTTCTCTTCCGTAGTTGAAATTAATGCAGTCGGAGTTGAATGTTGAAGAAGTGGTAAATGATAGAAGCTGGAAGGTATGGAACACTCCTGACTTAAGATTTTGAATCTGTCTGAAGGTTTGTTGCAATTCCTTACATTCTTTTGAATGTATGAACCCAAGCAACAAGTTGGAAGTGGAAGTATCTTCTCCCCTCCTCATGTGCTCATTAGCAACGGATGTTGAAATTTTCAGAGAGGGTTAATCCAGCATCTGAATACAATCAAAAATTCTGTGTTCATAGGTAAACAAGTATACTAACTGCTTATATACTTGGTGACTCATAGGTGTTTTGTATATATCTCCAGTGGCTATACATAAAATAAAAATGCACTGGTGCTATTCTCATTATTGAGCTGAATTTGGCAAGTGAATAGAAAAGTATTGTCTGTACTGTACCAAAGCTTTTTTCAAACTGTGGAATATGAGGGAAATTTATTGTAAGGCAGATTGATTTTTGAGAGGGCAGGAAGAGTGGGACAAGAGTTTGATCAGACTGTTCTTCTGGCTGATGTGTTATGGTTGCAGGGTGTGGAAGTCATTATTTTTATTGTTCAGAACCTTTCCAGTATGTTCTTTCCCGTCTTTGTGTTCCTAAGGTGTATAATATAATAGAGCTTTACTTTCTCTGAGTGTGCATGTTGGTCCTAATTGGTCCTTTATGACACATGACGAAGTTTGCCTCTGGGTGGAGCTACCCAAGCAATGTTACTCATTCTTCTGATCAGTACCCGCAGCCTCTACATTAACAGCCCTTTTCTCTTTCTCTCTCAGGTATTTAAGGAACGCTGCAGAGCTCATTATAAGCCTCCAAAGAGTCAATGATGGGACTGAGGGGGGAGGGCTTCCCCTTGATAGTGGACTTCAATCATGCAGATAAACTGGAGAAGAAACATGGAGCAAGCTTCATAGGGACCTTCTGAAAAGTCACATACATCCATGGAATTCATCCCAATGAATTATTTTGCTAATTAATATGAACCAACTGTTAATTTGTACAAGATGTATGGGGGGGAAGGGTTTTTATTAAAAAAAACATTCAGAAGGAATTTGTTATTGCTCTGTTAGATACAACGTTTCCCAGTCTGCAAGCACATTCAAAGATGAAGAGCGGAAGTTGCTCCATTTTTGAGCATTGGTTCCTGCAGATTGCCAGTTATAACCTGGCCCAATTTTAAAATCAGCACAAGTGTCTTAAATTATATTATGCTGTGATATAACAACCTATTTTCTAAAAGTGTGGTTAGTGCAAATTGTGGGCTCTCAGTTCCACTCTTGAATATCAGATAATACATTTGTGAGTATCTTTACAGTTGGATATTTATGTAATTGGGATGGTGACACATTAGTTCACTTTGGTTTGGATACTGGAAGAATTTGAGAGTGGAAGATACTACATTACTCTCATCATTATTATGAGAGCCGTTAGTTATTATGGTGCAGTGGTTAAAACTGCAGTACTGCAGTCAAGCCTCTGCTTGCAATCTGAGTTCGATCGTGACAGATTCAGGTAGCTAACTCAAGGTTGACTCTACCTTCCATCCCTCTGAGGTTGATAAAATGAGTACCCAGCTCACTGAGGGGCCTGTTGTTTGTTTGCATAATTATGTTGTAAACATAATTATACAAATTAATTCTATGTTGTAAACATAATTATACAAATTAATTCTGTGTTGTAAACATAATTATGCAAATTTTAAACAGGGTAGTTTAGCATTGTTGGGCCGTATATAAACTGAAACAACGAAAACATCAGCTCTGTGTCTACATGTTGATGTAGACAGAACTATTCTTGAATTGGTCTCACCTGAAAGTTAGTTTTTGTCGAATACACCAGAGTGGCAGAACATAATTAATTTCAGCAAATTATTAGATTGGTATGTAGCTCAGTGGTTTAGGTGTGTGGCTGTGGAGCCAGAGACTGGGGGTTCAATTCCACACTGTGCCCCTTGCAAATAGAGCCAGCCTGTGTGGCCTTGGGCAAGCTGCACAGTCCCGGGATGCCCCCAAACAGAAGGGAATGGTAAACCACTTCTGAGTATTCCCTGCCTGGAAAATCTTGAACAGGGTTGGCATAAGTAGTACTGACTTGACAGCACATGGTTATTATTCTTCTATAGCTCTGACAGCAGTAGCAGAAATCCGTTGCTGTAAGTTTAAAAAGTTTTGCTAGACTTTTTGTTGTGTACTGAATCATCGGACTGTCTGCAGTTCACATCTAAAAGTTAAGCTGCTTGCACAACTGCACAACAGGATTTCCATCAGTGTGTTTTGGCATCTCAACAGGATTTCTTGGAAATTATAAATGTTTTGGTACTTCGTTCCAAACCTAGTCTTGTATTGTGCTGGCACTCGCACTTTCTAGAGTTGGAGGGACTACATACAACTCAAGCACACTGCAGTGCCTCAAGAGTCAACAGAGCTTCTTACTGTAGACCTCGGGGGGGGGAATCAACCTGTTTTCATTATGTTGGGTTAATTCCAGAATGAAATCAGAACCATTTGCAATCATATCAAAATTCATTTAGGCTTCAAGTAAGTATTTTTATTGTTGCAATGATTTTTTAGCAAGGCAATACTATTGCATAGTGACCTTGCTTCCAGACTTGGCTGGAAAATTGGCTGATTGTTTTGCAGTGACTTTTGCTATACAGCTATTCAAACCTCATTTTAGAAACAATGTACATTTTCAGGGCTGCATTTTCTACACACACACCCTTAATTATATGAGCATTCTATACATTCAAAATTCCACATCTTGACAGAGCTACACAGTCTTGCCTGCAACAAATCTGCCTCCATGTTGGTGACTACTACAAAAATAACAGTCATCCGAGGAGTGTGACACATGATCACTGCATACCTTGTTCCCCAGAAGAACTTTGTGTGCAGATTGTATGAGGAGGGCCCCTATTTATTTATTCATTCATTCATTCATTCATTCATTCCATTCATTCATTCATTCATTCGTGGGTTTTTTTTTAGTTCTTAATTCAAATCTAAGTATGTAAGTCAAGTCAATATTTTCCTATGAGAGTGGTTCTTAAGTCAAAATGTTCTTAACTCAAGCCGTTCTTAAGTCAAGACCCCACTGTACATACATAAAATGACATGTAAAATATTAACACAAAGAAATTACTGTGTTATTTGTTATATAGTTAACCAATTCTTGGCTTGTGCATGCAACTATACACATAGGCACACTTATCAAATCCACCTTCTAACTGTGTGTGTGCACAACTCTGGATTTTGAAGTTTTAGTTGCTCAGATAAATGAGTTGTTTGAAGCCATTGTTCTCCTCTCTGTTGTCTCCGGCTCACATATAACGGGTTTTATGTCTGCATAGAGCCATGCCTGAATTTTTAAAGGATTGAATAGCCTTTGGTGGGAGCCCTGTCTCCACTTCTTACAGTGCATGTCTTCCCCTTATATTTTTTCAGGCTTTTGACCAGTTTAAGGATCTTAAACAGTATATTTAAGAAACATACTGCCAATGAGGGGGAAACTGTCCCCACAGACACACAAAACCTTTGTTGTCTTCAAGAGGCCCATCTTTCTTAATCCTGCTCTATTTGTACAGGATCATAAAACCGGGCTTTAAATTTAGGTAGTCTAAACAGCATATTTTTCTTCGATAAAGATCTCTGCTGATGTTCCTCTCAAGTGGTCCTTCCATGCTGCCTCTCTGTAGAACTGAAAAAAAAAGCTGGGGGTGGTGAGATTGACCTTACTTTTCTGCTCCTGTTCCTTGATTACTAGCTTCCACATCAGAGATCACACAGTGCTTTCTACTGAGATTGCCTCTATGCTGGTGCAGGGCAGCTCTTAGATTTCATCCCTGCCAACATCAGATAGAAGTGTTAAACTACACAAGCCTAAAAATGGTCTCTAAGCATTCTGCCCCAATAAGTGGACAGTTGATTTTAAAAAATTTCAAACATAAAATATCTGACAAACCTTCAAAGTTTTATCTCACTATCTCTCTTGTGATTTCACCTTTAGCTGTGGATATAGTCACTCTTCCACTTTGGTTTTTGATGTGCCTTTCATCCCACCAACCTCATCAAGTTCAGCTTGTAATCTTACTCCAAATCTGTCAATGGCACTTTCAAATTCTGATTCTGATCCTTGATTGCACTGTCAGTCATTTGATACTAAAGGCCTTGCCTGATACTACTTGCGGTCTCTCACAGTTCTTCTATACCTATTTGAATATTTATTTTTAATGTTGTCTTACTCTGCTTCAATTGGTTTTGTTCCATAATCCAATGGATTCTAGCATTGATGTTCTACAGTGACTGAGAAATAAGAAAGTTAAGAGTTTCTCTTTCCAATCTGTCACTGTAGCATCAATGAAAAGAAATTGGGAAGTTCGAAGCAGAATTCGGAGGTTTGGGTTATGATTCCTGGATTCTACTAGACTGTTGAGCTAGAAAAAGTAACATTTCCTAGCTCTGGTTGGAATCATAATGTAAACCAGGGGTCTCCAAACTATGGCCCACAGGCCACATCTGGCCCGCATTGCCTTTTTATCCAGCCTGGAGCGTGGGCACATGTACAAGCATGTGTGTCTTCCTTTAGCCCTCAAAAATGTGGTGCATATATGATGTAGCCCTTCCACTTACAAGTTTGAAGACTCCTGATGTAAACTAATCATTGGCCAAAATCCTATTGCTTAGTGTAGGAAACTACACTGAAATAGAGGTCCATTGAATCAATGGGGTGTTAGTGAGTCACCTCCTCCTTAAATTCCATTAATTCAAATAGCCCTATTCAAGCTGCAACTTACTATGCTAAAGTAAGTCACAATTAGAGTGGGTCTGCCTGAATCAATGGAACTTACAGATTAGTTCATGCACCAGATCCCTATCAATTCAAAGTGCAACTTACTACGCTAAGCAAGAGAATTTGGGCCATTAAAGAATAAAATAAAATTTCCAAATCCTGCTTTAAATGCGCAAATTTAACTGACACAACCCTGTGAGGAGTTATTATATTTCATCTCCTAACAAATTCCTTGCTGTTTACACCTTAGTGCAGTGTTTCCCAAACTTGGGAAACCCTGGTGTTCTTGGACGGCAACTCTCCAAACCCCTGGCCAGCACAACTAGTGGTGAAAGCTTCTGGCAGTTGCAGTTCAAGAACACCAGGGTTATCCAAGGCTGGTAACCAGCTAGAATAGGGCCAGTGGGTGATTTACTGCTCGTTTTGTCAGATGTGTATCAAGCATAATGTGCTGAGAAAGCATTTACTTGCAGAACTGTCACATGTGGTCCTGGAATCCAGCTTCCTGTTGAACAGCAAACGCAGTCAGACATAGATGCTGAGATATGAGAGACAACAAACAACAACAACAAAAATGGTCAGCTTATATAGGAATTTCAACAGGATAACAACTGCTGTAAAGACATATATTCCTGGACACCATAAATTACACAAGCCAGTTCTTCAGAATCTAAGTCTTGTGACCTTTGTTTCACAGGTCATAAATGTGTAAGATCTGTTTTCTGAGCCATAGGTAAATGTTTACACAGACAGAACAAAGTTGCAATGCTCATGTGAACCCAGAGATGCAGATTGCAGATTCCTAAATTTGAAGCTCCTAGACTTCGGTTGAACTGTTAGTTTTTATGAACATAGCTGTCTGGAGTGCTCAGTGGGTTGGGCATGAGTTGGGCATTTGAATCTCCACTGTGCATCCCAGGAAAACAGCCAGACTTTGGCAAACTTTGCAATCCCCGGGTGCCCCCAGACGTAGACAGTAGTCAACTATTTCTGGGTACGGTACTCTTGCCATACGTAAGTTAGAATTGACTTGATGGCACATAATCATTATTTAATAAACCTACATTTAGGCTGTACGTTCAAAAAAAGAGAGCAAAACACTGTAACATGACAGGCAGATCCAAAGTGGGCTGTAACCCATGAAAACTTATGCCACAATAAAGTGGTCAATATGAGCCTGGGTTATTTTCCTATGAGGCAAGTAACCGCTGGGAGGGAAGGAATGCTCACAGGTGAAAACAGCACTGGTTGAGCAGGTTGGACACCCTGCCTCTGCACCAAGGTTCTGACCCAGACAGCCCCGTGGCTCCTAATTATGCACTGTTGAACTCAATGAACTAACTTCCGAAACTGCAATTCAGCCTCACATCTTGTTTGGTGTTAAAACTGCTGAAATGGGTGTTGCAACGTAGTGTGTTGGGCAACATGGGGACGCAATGCTGTCTCATCTTTACCAAAGAGCAAAAGTTCGTTATGTCTCATAACTCAGCATGAAGTCCTAGTTAGTGGTGGCAAATCAGAATTTGATGCCCTTTCTTCAGACAATAGGCACAAAACACGAGTTTGGTTCTATCAGGCAGGTTATCTTCCATAGTTCATAAATGATACTTCTCATACTGGTCAATTGGTATGAGAAAGGGAATTCTACCCATGTAGTTTCCCTTCTTTTGTTCTGCTTTGACCAGGGCAGTGAAGCTAATCTACATAGATATCACATGACTCTCTCAAGAGTATATCTCATGCCAGAGGACTCTCCGGTATCACTGTTTCTTGTTGACTTCACTGCACAGACTTGCTGAACTGCTTGGAATTGACTTTTTCACAGTGATGCCTGGAGAATTAAGTGACGCTAAACCTGTTGCGCCAGAAATCCAGCAGCTGGCTCACAAGGTGAGTTAAAGACCCTGCTAAAAAGGCATAGCGGAATTTAATTCTTTTTTAAAAAAATATTAGTATATTTACTGTTTTAGCTTTTAAATACTCTTTTCATGATGTAAGCTGCCTTGGGTTCTTTTCGGGGAGAAAGACTGCACAGAAATATTTTAAATAAATAAATAAAACAGTTTAAATATTAAACCAAATTTTAGAACAATCAGTAAATGTGTTTCATTTTAAATGTTACACTCATTTCATCACGAAATGCAAGAAGGGAGAACTATTAGTGAAGGGTTCGTCTGCCTAGGAGAACAGGGCTCAACTTATTTTAGAAGAGTCAGGTTCAAGTCATAGCACAGAGGTGTTTGTAGATCTGTCTTCGATGTTGGAGGCGCAAATGAAATGCGAAACAGAATGCCTTTTAGCAGTCTAGACTGGTGCCCTAGATATAACCCTATGTCAGTAGAGCTGGTGGGTTTCCGTGACCCATGCCCTGTTAAATTCCCGTTTGAATTATTACAGTGCATTATATATATGTAAGGAGGCATTTCAACCTAGAAACTTCAGGAACTACAGAATAGGATAGCTAGGGAACGGAATGGAACTGGCTTCCAGTTTGTTTTCCGGGCCTGATCCAACATGGGGAAGGAAAAAATCACCATAGTTGTGTTGGGGTGTGGCAGTGAGGCAAAGCAAAACTGTATTTTCACCACTGCACTCCTCCTCCTGTGTCTCCCTCCATAGTTGTGGAATACTTTGTTGTGTTTCTTCCTCATAATAATTCCCACCCTGAAGTTATACACAAACCACTCCAAGAAATTCTCATAATAATTGAAATCTGAGCACCTGATGTGATTTGTCTGTGAAGGGCAGGTCCTTTGGAAGCCACTCTTTGCCTCAGGGCAGGGCTCGTCCTGATGCGCTGTGCTCCATGCACTTGTCAGTGATGCTCTTCTAGATTTAGGATCCATGAAATTTCTAATTTGTGTAATTAAGGGGATCATAACTCTTCCCCATGGCTTCCTAGAGGTGTGTTTTGGGATTATTGTTTTTTTTGCTGCCCAAGAATTATGGTTTTATTGTATATTGTGAACTGCCCAGAAAGTGGCAACACTCCTGAGGCAGTTTGGAAAATGGAAACAAACCAACAAATATGGCAAATGCTTTTTGTTTTTTAATTTTAGATGAAATCTGAAATAGAAGCAAAGGAGAACAAAACGTACTCTATGTTCAAGGCTTTAGAGTACCGGACACAGGTCGTGGCTGGAACCAACATGTTCATCAAGGTCAGGGTTCCCAGTGAGATATGATAAGAAATGTTAAGGGGAGAGAGGACCCTTTAAACCAGTGGTCGCCAACCTTGGACCTCCAGATGTTCTTGGACTCCAACTCCCAGAAATCCTGGCCAGCAGAGGTGGTGGCGAAGGCTTCTGGGAGCTGTAGTCCAAGAAATTCTGGAGGCCCAGGGTTGGGGACCACTGCTTTAAACTGCCAGGAGTAAATCCATTTCAGGTGCCTTTGAGGTGCTCCTTTTTTACAGGGGTTGTTTGTGCTGATGTGGGTTCGTGTGGATGTGGGCAAACATCTCTGCACATGTGTGAATATGGGTATGTAATCGGAGTGGTGTGTGTGAGAGAGTGTGGGAGTGGATATGGACAAGTGTGTCTATGCATGTTCCGATGGAAGAGAGACAGTGTGTCCATAGAATCTTTTTCTGAAGAGGCAAAAAAGCTGCACAGTGCGGCACGTGAAGCTGATTTGTGAATACTTTACATCCCACTGTAACTTAATAATACATCTGTGTATATTAAAATGATTACACTGACTATGACGTCTCTCCCTAACAGACACTCAATAAGGAAGAGTGTGTCTTCTCTGTATGAGGCGTCCTCTTGGCTGTCAGAAATGGATTGTTTCTTGTGCAGGGTAGGGGGGGATGGGTTGCAGGATTGGGGTGGTCTGTGGGGATGCAGGCCATGCGGGGTGCGACAAGGTAGATGTACCTGGTGAATGTGGTGGGATATATCCAATGGAGAAAGCATTTTTTTGCATTGAGTTGTATACCTCAACAGGTATATACATGTTCAGTGTACAGTGCGGGCACCCACGCTCTCGCTGGTAATGACAGCATATACACAGAGTGCAATTTGCATGAGATGAAATGTGTTGGATTGGGTGCATTGTGTGTCCCTGTGTAGATGTAACATGTGTGTCAAAGAGTGCCTTCTCTCTGTGTGTAGAATATGGGTGCAGTTACGGTTGGGTTCACATATGTGTGTGGCTGTGGGAGAGGAAGTGTGTATGTGGGGGTTATACAGTGATATTTGTGCCCAGCGTCTTCCATCCTTCCATTCCTACATGCAGATGCCAGAGCAAATTTCCATTTTTCAAAGCCAACACAGAGACTTTTTGAAGGTTTCCAACAATATAATTTAGATTGTCCTGAGAAATGTAACATAAATAATGAAGAAACATTCTTAGCCTCCTAGACTTCCTACTGAATCAGGCTGGCCATAGATGAAAATAAATTCTTTAAAACTGTTTAGCCAAACCAAATTTTATCTTTTTCAGAAGTTTGTTTTGAAGTGTTGCTAATTACCGGATGCCTTGGCCACTGGAAACTAGATCAAATCAGAAGGTCTCACATCCCTTTTAGAAGGTGTTGGCTTTAGCTTCAGAGACAATCATTTGGGTTTTATTGGTTCCTTAACATGGTGACAGGGGGCAGGGGGAACACGGTACAGTCTGGAGATGCTGAGGGGAGCTCTTTCTATTTATTTACAGTACTTGGTTACCTCAGCAAAACTCTAAATATGGTCTCCACTGTGCAATGACAACCCAGCTTTGGTCAATCTGGTAAACAGAAGGTCTAAATAAGTCTCCCATTTACTTTCCTCTTGCATCAAATTGCTTATTGCAAGCTCCTTTCACCTCAAGGTCGAATTCTCTCTTGACTTTAAATGATAAGGTCATTTAGCAACCCTATCAGATGACACAAGAGAATAAACATTTTTATGATGCCCACTTATGCTTTCTTTCATATAGGTTCAGGGAGACCAAGATGAATTTCTGCACCTCCGTGTATTTGTTCCTCTTCCTCAAGAGAACAGAAGGCCCTCTCTGATCAGTTACCAGACTGGAAAGACAGCAAATGATCCACTGAATTATTTCTAAGCTTCTTCTGCAACTGCAGGTTGACATGGGGACATCAGAATATGGCCACAAATAAAATATATCGATACTGGGAAGTTCTAGATTGTGGTTCTGTGTTGCATTCAGTAGAACAGCAGCTCTTGCTTCAGAAAATGTGAAATGATCCTAAATATAATGCTTGATCTTTAAGACTCTCGTTTTAACATCCGGCCTGGCCTAACAGGAACATCCATCCTACTTTCTTCTCCGACCGGGGGAATTTTATTCACTCCTTCCCTGAACGGCCTCTCCAGTTCTTTTCTGTGGAGTCACAGAAGTCCTATCACCATTCTAGTTGAGGAAAAAATGTATAGAACTTCATTTCACTGCCTCTTCTAACCCACAATATTTCACCCTGTGCTTCATCAAATTTTAGCATCACATTTTTGTTTTGAGAGAAAGACCTAAAAATGATGCTTCTGTCCTCTCTCTTTCTCCCTGGCCATCACACACATTCTCCTCTGTGATTATTAAGAGCGGGTACTGTCTTCTGCACTGAAACCCGGAGGTGGCCTTCCACTCTTACACCCTTAGTTTTTGAAGCAGCCAGCAGAGTATGGAGTAGAAACTTCCATTTGCCAACATAGCTCTTTAGATACAACACAAAGGTAAGGCAAAAATCACCTACTGACAGAGGAGACTGTTGAGGAGGTAACAATGCTACAGCAGAAAACCCCCCTGCAATGCTACCACCTTCTTTAGGGTGATATTTACTGGGCCTTCCAGTTTCTTAGTGTTGCCTTGGTTTCCTACTTCTAGATGGCTATAAACACCAAAGAAAAATTAAAAGTATTTGTGAGCAAGGGGAGAGATTCTTACATGGTAGCACTAACTGGTTTGTTCATGGTTAATATATGGAGAGATTCTTACATGGTAGCACTAACTGATTTGTTCATGGTTAATAACACACACACACGCACACACACACACACACACACACACACACACACACACACCTCCCAGTGGTTCTGATCCAAATTGGGAAAGACCTCCCCACATGTCTTATCTCTGTGTGGGAAAGAAGTGTTTATTTATTTTTGAATAGCAGGCACGTTAGTGAGGGAGCTGACATGGGATTCTGTCACTACAGTGACAGAAGTCCAAATTGTGGTCCCATATCTGTCAGTCTCTATAATAACGGGATTGTGTGAATGGGTTCATGTCTATTATTTTATTTATTTATTTATTTATTTATTGGACTTATATACCGCCCCATAGCGCTACAAGCACTCTCCGGGCGGTTTACAATTATTATGGGCCCTAACATTCTACTTCAACACAGAAAGAGACTCTACATGGTAGTTCAGCCGTCTCACGCTTAACACGCCACATCTTAACCACATATACGCCAGTGGTGAACAGCATATGCAGTCAGCATATGGGCAACCGGATACCTCCAGATGTTTTAAACCTACAACTTCTATCAATTTTAGCCTGCCTAGCCAGTAGTGAGGGGTTATGGGAGCTGCACCTCAAAAAACATCTGGAGGGTCAATGGCCCACTCTGACATGAAATGTGGAAGTGTGAAGCCTTGAGCCCAGCTCCTTAGTCTTCATTCCTCCCTGAAAGGAAGCGAAAGAGCGGGGCTGCATTTCCCGCCATTTCAGGGGGCCTTCCTCCCTTGTTGCCATTTTGCTTCCCAGACAGTAGGACCTCCACATGCTTTCCTGATACACACTTCTCATTAGAGCTAGCTTTGTGACTCTGCTTGTTTTGCCCCGCCCCTAAACCTTTTGGAGCTTACAGGGGGGGGTTGGGGGTGGACAGTGTCCACACAGCACAAATGGCATCACAGGACATCCCCACCTCACCCACCCCAATCTACTTTGACTCCAAGACAACTCCTAGGAGCAAGGCAAAAACAGAACCACAAAACCCCACAGCGAGCTTCTGTCTGCCTATCTTTTCTCTGGCAAACTTTGTGCAAGGAAACATGTAGAGGCCCTGCCACTTCCCATGGCGAGGGAGGTTGGGCACTTTAATCTCTGGAGCTGGATGATGCCGTGAGGCAGCTATTTCAACCAGAGTGCCCGGAACCTTGGTATTCTCAGGAAAACAGAGCTGCACCCTTACTACATACCCCTTCCAGTACTCTCCCACTGTAAGGTACTTGCTCAGTACCACAAAATGGAATGGCTGGCCCAGCCTTTGGAACAGCACTTACTGGCATCCATCTCTAGTCACCTACGACGTGTTCTCCCTTCTTTTTGCCTTTATTCACATTTATACTGAAAGGTCCCTTGAGAAAGAGCTTGTACTGTATTTGGTTTACGTTATTTCATACAGCTTGCCTAGTGACAGCCGTCCTTTAAGACCATCAGAAGAAAGCTAAAAGTTTCGAATCACTTCGGTCTGTGTAGCGGATACGCCCTGGGGAGCTGCCGTCTCCGGTGACTTCCATATTCACAGGCTGTGTGTAGACCCATTCCTTTCTGTGTCACTCTGGCACTAAGTCAGCCAGAGTAAGTCATTAACTAAGAAGTCCCATGACTGGGGAGAAGTTAGTCATCTTCACTAACGAAATAATGTTGCTTTTCCATTCAGATTGGTCAGAATGGAGTTGGATTGGAATGTGTGTGGGCCTTCTGTCAGTGACTGACCCAGTTTGGGGCTCGCTGCCCAGCGGCAGGGACTGCAGAGCAATGGCACACTGGAGCAGCCAGTCTCTGTTCCACTGTGCCTCAGGATCAGGCCTTCCAGAGCAGGGTGACACAGCCTATTTCCCTGCCTCGCCACCTCTGTTCTGAATGTTCCTGAATGCCACCTCCGTCTCCTCACCCAAATTAACTCCCAGGGGCAAAGGTTGGGTAAACGAACAGCCAGCAGACAGCAGCTGTTCTTCATCTCCTCAGGGCCTGCTCTTCCTTGCTCGTCTACTTATCACTTCCTACTGTGCTGACACTGGATGGTAGCGGTAATGGTGGGGAAGAAGGGCTCAGCTCTACACTGGATGGTAGCGGTAATGGTGGGGAAGGGCTCAGCTCTCACCCTGAGGAATAGCTAGGAGCAACACATCAGACTTGTATCTCTCCATTCCTCAGAGGTTCGTCCTTACGGATTGTAAGGGGGCTATTCCGACGATCCCTCAAAGCAGGGAGTGAGCCTGCTTACACTTTTCTTACAAGAAGGGGGCTGGGGAGGTTGCCAGTATGAGGCCATAGCAAGTGGTATTGCTACAGGGCAGAGATACGATCGAAGAGGATGCCAAACTCAAAGTACACAATACTTTGAGCAAGCCCTGCACGGGGGACATTTTAACACTTGGATCTACAGTCTCGTTAGCTTTTGACAGCCAGGAGGATGTGTAACACAAAAAGTACTTTTCTTTCCTATTTTTGTGAACAGCCGCTTTGTATGCTAAAGCTGAGCAAGTCTACACGTGCCCTGCCCTCAAAAACACCTTCACGTTGAGAACTATTGGGCAGCTAACCATTTGATGAGACGCAGAACAGTTTCTGCTGGTGGGACAACCGATCCGTGCCTTGCTTTGGGGCAAAGGAAAGCGGGCCGGCTATGGCACTCCATTTAAAGGCTGCTTATATAGAACCGGACAGAAAGGAAAGAAACAGCTCGCATAAAGTAGCTGAGGGAGATAAAAGGGTGAGCTGGAGTGGTGGTGGAGGCAGTGGCAGAGCTGAATCAAGTGGTTCCCTGGGCCAATAGAGTCAAAGTGCAAAGTATTAGGCAGATGTGGTCGCCACCCCTTCTGACTCCACAAGCCACTAAATTCACAGTAGCTCCCGTCCCCAACATATTTATTGAGCAAGGAGGCAGTTAAGGCTTCCTCTTTTGCCTCACGCTGTGAAAATTGGGTGGTTGTGCAGGCCGTCCTGCAGTCAGATATCATAACTGGTACGCTCCAACCTCCAATTCTAACACAGCCCAGGCCCAGGCCATTTGGCCAGCTTTCCCAGGTGAGGAATCTATGGGTACACTGCATTTTTTTTTGTCTGATTCCTCTTGGATGCACACCTTAACATGGCTGGGGTGTGTGTGTCTGAGTGTATCAGAGCAGTCCATCAAAAGATTAGGCTCCATTATGAGCCTAGCAGGGTTACCCAAGGCAGAATAGTCAAAGGTGGGAGACTAGACTCAGAAGCATCCACCTTCTCCAGGGATTGAAGATTGCATCAGAAAAAAGAGAATTGATAGCTCTAACTGTGATGGGAACAATGAACTTCAAGCTAAAATTCCTGTCAATATTATGCGGAAGGCAATGGTAGACCACTTCTGAATCTTTTATACCTCAAAACCTCTATGACAGTGGTGTCGAACTGTGGCCCTCCAGATGTTCTTGGCCTTCAACAAACATAGTGCCGGAAGATGAGACTCCCGGGTTGCAAAGTACTCAATGAGCTACTAGATAAGAACAAAGGGCAAGGAGCAACTAGATTAAAGGGGGGGGGAGTCTAGTATGCAGAAGCAAATGCTAAGCCCAATGCTTTACAGCACATATAGTATAATTAGAACATGGAACATGAGAAATCACATTAAAGTTGAAATCATAAAGCAAGAAATTGAAAATTTAAGCATTGTAGTAAGTGAGTGAACTAAAGTGGGCAACAATAGGTCATTTTCAGTCAGACGACTGCAAATTATTTTAGTCTGGAATGGCAAAATCAGAAGTAATGGTACCAGCAAGATGTAATACAGTCAGTTAGGAGATATAACATAAAGTCTGATCAAATAATATTAGACTTGGAAAACCTATAAATATAATTATAAGTCAAGTCTATGCCCCATATACAAATGCTGAAGACAAAAAAAAAAAGAAGTCAAGTTTTATGCAAATTGCTATGTTTGATGAGCACACACCAAAACTGGATGTTGATAACCGCAGGTAATTAGAATGCAAAAGTAGGAAACAAAGTAGAACTAAAAAGTGGCAAAAATCCTGTTGCTTAGCATACTAAGAGCATGTCCACTGAATCCGTACCATCAGAGAAGAATGCAAGATAAATTCCTCTAGTCAAAAGAAACGAAAAGCCTAGACAGATGACAGATGAAATTTAACATTATAAGAGACATAGAAGAAGCAAAAGTAAAAGATGACAGAAATAAGGTGAGAATCCTAAATGCAGTTTTTCAGTGGCTATGACATAAAGATAAATAGAACTATTACAATAATCAGTGCAAACAAAAGGGCAACAACAAAAGGAAAATCAACTCTTCCATAAAATCCAAGGAATCAAAGGAAAATTTAAACCTAAAATATGTTGTAATACCTAACCAATCAAAATAAGAAGATGGAAACAATATTGGAAATACTTATACTGTACAGAAGAGACAGTTTTCTGTGAAGAAGAAATCTGTGATGATGAACCTGTGATTTTAGAAAAGCAATATGAAAGCTGTTCTGACAGCACTTGGAAAGAGTAGATGGGATACTGTTTCAAGCTACTCAGTCTGTTAAGATCTTAACAAGAATATGCCAACAAATATGGAAACAAAACAATGGTCCACAGATTGAAAATGCTGAATATAAATGTCAGTCTTCAAGAAAGGAGATGCCAAGGAGTCAGTAGCTACAGGACCATTGCATTAATTTCTCATACAAGCAAAGTGATGTTTAAAGTTTTGGACCAAATTTTACCATATATGGAGCAAGAAATGTCCAAACTCGATTCTGAAAAGACTGAGGTACGAGAGAACACACTGCAAATATATGTCTGCTACAGGCATAAGACAAAGAATTTCAGAAGAAAGCCAATCTGTGCCTTACAAATCACTGCAAGGCCTTTGTGTGAATCATTAAAAGCTATGATGAGTTTTAAAAAATGGGTGGCACAACATTTGATTGTCCTGATGTGTAACGTACGCTATGAACCAGAAGCTACAGTAAAAACAGAGTAGAAAGAAATAACGTCATTTCCAATTGGCAAAGGAGTCAGACAAGGATGTATTTTATCTCCCCATTTAATCAAACTGTATGCAGTTTTCCTGATGCCCCTCTTTTCTCCCTCCCCCATTGTTTGCTCCCATCTTGTTGAAATTTCTTTTATTATGTAAAAACTGCTTTTATATATACTTATTGTATTATTTTATGCTGTTAGCCACCTAGAGTGGTCTTAACCGACCAGATAGGCGGGATATAAATAAATAAATAAATAAATAAATAAATAAATAAATAAATAAATAAATAAATACATACATACATACATACATACATACATACATACATAC